TATATTTATCATCATTGTTAGATGACATTGAAATAAATGGAGCACCGTAAGTAGTTAATCTAATTTTACGATCAGGGTTTTCTTCTAAATATTCAACACTCGCGCTACTATCCAATGAATGACTAATAACTTCATTAGTATTATTATTTATTTTTTAGTATCATTATATCTTTCGTGATATTTAGTTAGACGAAATGGAATTGTAATATCGCTTAAAATATCATTAATATTTGATTTAATATTAGACTTACCAACTGTTCCAGCAACATATACTCTATTGCCATCAAAAAAGAAACCTTTACCATTTGTATATGCTTTGTTCAGTCCTTCTGTGTCAGATAAATTATTATTATATGTAAGTTTGAATAATGATTTTTCTTGGTGAATTTCCTTAATTATGTTTCTATACATTTCACTATGACCTTGATGAAGTGGATTGTACGATTTTAATTTTCCTTCTTTTAAATAATGCATATTTGTATTTTTCATATAAAATTACATTACATAATTTTTATTCAGCTAATATAATGAACTTTCGTAAAATATATTTAGTGACACACGACATAGAAATCTAAATGAAAGTTTAAGCACTTCTGACTAGGAGCAAATACAAATTTATATGTTCACGAATTACCAATACCTAATACTATTTATCCTATTGAAGAAATGTAAATAGTAGATTATATCTAACATTAGGAGGAATACTAGCAGGAGCACCAGAATATTATTTTATTGTAGCACCTGATACAGGTTGTTATGTAGGTAGTGAATTAGCAACCGAATTACAAAATACATTGAATACTGCTACTAATGGAACTGATGGAAATTGATTTTTTTAGTTGTAGTTATTCATGAAAAGCAAATACTATAACTATAAGTTGCAATTATGTTTGTTATTTTTACACAGTTCATACGGATAAAGAATTGCAAACTAACTCTGGTTTTGGTGTTATGACAGAAGCCATACAATGTCTAGTAACAATGTTCTAGGAAACACTGTTGAAAAAAATCAATTTTGCACCCGACCCTTTTGTTAGTGGTTTTGATAATTTATTACCAAAGAAAAATATTTACTTAACCAGTGATAGCTTAACAAATGGAAACCAATTAGCGCCTTATGGAGTTGCCCGTGTATTAAAGAAAAATCATATTACTGCTGGATTTGGAAATGTAATCTATGATAATGAGATTTTAATGAATGACGCTAATGATGTTTCAATGAGACATTTAAGACGCTTACATTCTAAATATGTTGATGCTTATGGAAAAACTGTAGTTTTACACGGGGCAGACAGTAGTTTTAGTTTAACATTTGTTGAGGGTTGAGAAGCATATATTAAATAATATTAAAATATTTTAATATAAATATTTATTATATATGAATTATATGGTTAAAAATATTGAAATAGTAGATGTAGGCAGTGAAAATAATGAAGCACCTAAGGAAGTAGAAGAAGTTAAAGAAGAACCTATTATTAATGAAGAAAGTAAAGAAGTAGAAACTAAGAATACTATAGATGAAGAAGAGAATAAAGAAAATACACCACCGGATAATAATATAGCCGAACTACCAAAACAAGAATTAACATCTAAAACATATTCAACGGAAAAAGTGGAGTGTCCCAAGTGTAAAAAATATTTAACAAAATACACTTTCAAGTATCGTCATAACTGTAATGGAATACCAGTCAAAAAAGAACCAGACCCTAACAAAGTTGTTCGTAGAAAGATTATGCAAAGAATTTGAGAATAACGTATAGAAAGACGCGTAGAAGAAAAGTTAAAACAACATATAGAAAGCGCAGCAAATGAAGTATTTGAAACTGCGAAAGATAGATATAATAATGTGAAACAACAAAAGTTGGAAAAGAAGCAAGAACATATTAACAATTTAGCAAGTAAAATTATTCGATAAATATATTTGTAATCTAACTAGTATTATATATAATGATTATTGATAAGAAACAATTGCTTATGTGTCGTAGAGAAATTTTTGACAATGTTGCAAACAGAATAACAGAACAGCAAAACAAAGATAAACCACATATCAGTGATGTTATCGATAGAAAAGCAGTTTTTGAAACAAAAAACCAAAAAAGAAGAACACATACATCAACTCAACATTACTATTATGAAGGAGACAACAAGGCGCATCAACCTAACTACACATATTTGAAGGAATTGCAAGAACAATTTCAACGTCATACCGCTCATACGGATTATGCTGTATTTCAAAATAAAAGAAGATATATGGATGAAGCACAGGCGTGTCTTTTTGATGAAACCCAAAGGTTGGAGGGTGAAAAATTGCGACATCATCCATCAAGTGCAACAGGTAAATCCTATTCAGAAATTATTCAGAAGAAGACAGGAATAATCAATCAATTAAGACAAGATTTTGATTTTGAAAAAATAATGAAATTAATAAGATTAACAAATTAAATCTAATTAATTTAATATACTAATGAGATTAGACAATGCGCAGATGAAAACGCTAAAATCACAATTGAGATTAAGACCGCCTTATAATGAACTGATAAAGGGAATTACAAAGGAAGAATATAGAAATCAGAGATGTAATAGGTCGAAACGCCTATTATTTTCGTGATAGTCCATTAGGAACAGTGTATGAAAATAATACAGTAGATTTGAGACAACAACACTTTCAAAAAAATGTTAGATGGGGAAAATCAAACAAAACATTTTGATATGGCAAAGAACGATGAAATGCATGATTTAAGAGGCGGATCAATACAAACACTAAGTGCCTCAATGGATGATGCAGAGGAACAACACGAACGACAGATCAGTCAAGTTTCAACAAGACTTCGTAGCGAACAAACAGCAGATCTACACCAACAAGCACAACGAGCAAGACAATTAGAAGGACAAGAGGGGAGAAGACCAAGTATCCAGTCAATGATGACCGCAAAATCAAACGACTCTGAAGACTTACCGCCGCTGGAAGAAATAACCACTGAAAGAATGACAGCAGAAGCCGCATCAAAAGAATATGTTAAAGGCCTTGTATATCGTCAATCAAAAGATGTAGCAAGGAAAGTGGCATCATCGTTTGTCAAACTGAAAATACATCAAAAGAGTTAGAAGAAAGAAGAGAGCAAGCGAGGGACAGCGCTGACAGTTCACCCACAGTCCCACAAAGACAAACAAGAACACAGAAGGAAATCATTGACTATTCAACTGATATAAACCATTGGAAAGGAAGCACAGTAAAAGAAGAAGACATAATATTTCAATTACATTTAAGAGGAGCAGGACTTACTGAAGAATAGGAACAACAATACTCAAACAGAAAGAAAAAGGGGAAGGGTAAAAAGGAAACTGGTAGAACTTATTTAGTTGGACTGGTGGAGAAACTTATAAACAGCGGAAAATGGACAACAGAAGTAAATGATGAATTGTTAAGAAAAAGACTGAACGATTGGAGAGATATGAAAGGAAAAGGCAAAGCAACAAAGGAAAAATGAATGCGCATGACTTATAGATATAGAGTCAAACACTCAGGATAGAAGAATTAACAATAATTGCAATGACCTATCCCCATCACGATGCATTTTAAAAAGATTACCCAGCCGTTTCAGGCAAGATCAAAAACTCGTTGAGCGCATCAGTGTAGCGCAGCCCAGGACACCTAAGACCTGTTATTGCCTCAAACTTCCCTGTGTTAGACACACAAAACCCCTCTAAGAATTTGCCCATATAACCGAGGTTACATGCAACTATTTAGCAGGTTCGGGTCTCGTTCGTTGACTCCACGAACTAAGAACGGCCATGCACTGCCACCCATAGAATCAAGAAAGAGCTATCAATCTGTCAACCCTTACTATGTCTGGACCTGGTAAGTTTCCCTGTGTGAGTCAAAATAAGCCGCAGCCTCCACTTTTTTTGGTGCCCTGCCGTCAATTCCTTTAAGTTTCAGCCTTGCGACCGCATTCCCCCCGAAACCCAAAGAACTTTGATTTCTCGTAATGAAGGAGTCGTGCAATTAACAACCTCCAATCTCTAGTTGGCATAGTTTATGGTTAAGACTAGGACGGTGTCTGATCGTCTTCGATCCCGTAACTTTCGTTTTTGATCAATGAAAACATCCTTGGCGAATGCTTTCGCAGTAGTCCGTCTTTAACAAATCAAAGAATTTCACCTCTGACAGTTAAATATGAATGCCCCCAACTATCCCTATCGAACTGGGGTCCTGTCAAATTCTTCCATGCTCATGTATTCAAGGCGTGCGCGTGCTTGAAGCGGTTGTAAATGCCGCGCCACACAGCGAAGTGCAGACGCTGGCACGAGACTTGCTGTCCAATTGATACTCACAAAAGGGTTCAAAATTCTATTCAGTCCAGTTACAAGACATGGATGCCCTGTATTGTTATTTCTTGTCACTACCTCCCTGTGTCAGGATTGGGTAATTTGCGCGCCTGCTGCCTTCCTTGGATGTGGTAGCCGTTTCTCGCTAGAACGTGAATTTGGTGTGACTTGTCAACAACCTGTTGTATTTGCACAAGTGAGACATCTCAAGTTAGAGGTGGTTTGCGCTTTTTCAGGCAATTGGATGTGGAGTGTTTGTTGTTTTTGGTAATTGTCTGCATGAACGGTGCTATTTGGTTTGGGCAAGTGCCGCTGTTGCCGTGGACGTATGTTGAGCTAAATGGAAACATGGCCTGCATTTTTTTGGCATGGCCATCGCGAGCTTTGACCCTTTGAGCTGCTTGAAGTCCCGTGGCTCGATTTTCTGAAAACTGTGTAGCAATTGCATGTATTTCGGTGTCGGAAATGGTGGACTTTGCAAACTTGCCACCAGGGTTTTGTCGATCCAGAATCAAAAGGATGAGAAAGGCACGGCGAGCTTGAACATTTCCAAAGCGGCCAAACTTTGCCTGGATCCGCAGCCAGCTCTTAGATTGGTTTGACATCAAACAATCATTGAGAAGTTAAACCAACTTGTGCAAATGTTCGAAACTTTTCTATACATTTCCAATCGAGTTGTTCCAAAACTGCTTTTCACACAGCGCAGCCCGGCTACGAGCCATGAGGTGTGACTGTTTGCACTCGGTTCGGGGTGGAGTTCTGTAATTTTGCTCAGCTTCATCACAACTGCACTTGGCTCGTGTGTAAGCGTCGTGCTTTGGGTTTGTTTGGGGTACGCCAAGTTGTTTGTTTCCAACCCTGGACAGGTTCAGAAGATGAAAGCGATGACCGATTCGGAGGCGCCGCAATCTCACGCGTCATTGCTGTGCATGGCACTTTATGTCAGGACTACTCTGAAATTTCAGGATCTGACCGAGATGAGGACTGCGCCCAATGAAATGAGCATTTTCAGAAATACGCCTAGGGTAATGTTTGGGATGTCACATTCATGGACCCAGTAGGAATGTTGAGAACCAGCATTTGGGTATGTTTTAAAATAGGGGCCAAAGCTGGTGTTCCATTAGCCCCAAGGATCCCCTATTGGTGGATTTCCATGGAGGTCCCTAGATACTTTTTCTCAACGCCCTTGGGCATGGGTACCTTGAAGTTGCACGGCAGGAGATCACGTGGATTGAGTGGTTTTGTCACCTCAAGGCGGGGGCTTGACTGAGGAAGCGAAGACTGTTCGGCTATGAACTCGTTTTGAGCGTCGCTCTCAACGGATGCAGCTACCTTCAAGTGTTGTTTGAAAGGCCGCCAAAGCTGAAGGCTTTGGCAAATTTAGCTGTTAGAGGATGCATCAAGAAAGCGAGCATAGTTGTGAGAAGTGGGCTTCATGCATTTTCTGTGCCAACAGAACCTCCTTCAAAGTCACGAAGTGGTCACAGGGACGGGTTTGCCACTTTGGAATCGCAGCAAGGGGTCGTGATTTTCTACCATCGTGATTGACAGGGCAACGAATTCTTTGTGGAAGTTGACGAGGACTACATCCAGGAGACTTGTTTGAGCTCATGTCTTGGCCCCAAGCACCCCAATGGAGGTTCTAAGAACTGGGAGGTGTGCTCAGCGTCAGGATGATTTCAACCTCACCGGGCTCAGTGCGCAGGCGCTGTAACTCTTAGTGGTGAATGTTGTTGCAGTCTTGTGAATGGATCGAGGTGCCATGCTATGAAGATGCGCTGAACATGATCCTGGACTTCGATGACCAAGATGCCCCAGCCCAAAACTGGCTGGGACTCTAATACTTGGTTTTGGCATCGGTGGGGTGATTCTAAAAGGTTGGACATATGGGGAACCGGCAAGAGAAAAGTGGAGGGGAGAAGCGGCGCCCTGCGAAGATCAAGCTCACATTTGCGGAGTTGAAGACTTTCAGAATTTCAGCTTCTCCTTTTTCTTTGGGCAACCATAAGGTTTGCAAGGAAAGACCCTTGTTATTTTGCGCTACCGCGACACCTTCGACCCAATGGCATCGCAGCTCTGAGGATTACAGACATCAGGACGAGCAAACGCCCTTGGCGCTTGCCCGAGTTTCAACCGAGACAGATCATTAGCGCTCAAGTTTGAGGATTGCGGTGCCTCCATTTTCTTTTGCTACTTCGCAAGGTAGCCTGACAAAGCATGCAAAAAGGCGACCCATTTTGGTATCACAAGACATGTTTCCCACCACGAGCCAAGGTAGAAACTGCGGCGCAGATGCTTTACGGGCTGGCCGCTTACTTCTTTCCGTGCAGTTACCAGTCTTTGGGATCTCGGGCCTATCGCAAGCCTCGATTCGTCTTGAGGCTAATCCACGCCCGTTTCATCCTGACCAACCGCGGCATGCAAGCCATGCTGGAAAAGTACAACTGCCATGCGGCGCTGACTGGATTCCTTTGGTTTCAGGTTTGAGCTGCAAAGCGCCAGCAATTCATAATTTCAGCCGGAAAAAAGGAAGGGTTAAATTGGCTTCTATTGATGCCTTGGGCAAACGTGACCATCCCCAGAGTCGCAGTTCTGAGTTGTGCCAGTCCTTGCGTGAGAGGCATCTTGTTGTTTTGGCTAGGTGTATGGAAGGTGTCCGCTGACACAGTGCAGCGTGCCCAGAAACTTCCGAAGCGTCGCAATGTTTGGGGGGATTTAGCATTCTCCTTCTTCTGTCCAGTGCGGGAACGCGTCAGACTAGAAAACTAGAGACAACTTTTGTGTCCATGAGAGGAGACCACCATGAAAGTTGCCAATTGAAAAAGTTTACAACTGAGTCCGGGGGCTGAGATTTTGGGCCTCAGGCAGCCAATGCTTTTTCCCCTTGGACCCCCCCTGCTTTACGGGTGCGGAACTCGCGCACATGTTGCCCGGGTCCGCGCTTTTTCCCTTTTTTTTTTAATCGGATGAGGCGAGGCCATGAACCAGGCAGTGTTGCCCATCGGCGCTTCCGACATGCTGCGGCAGAGCGCGGCCCAGGCTGTGCCGAGCGCGGGAGAAGCATGTGCATCCGTAGCTCACGGTTTGCCAACCACAGCCCGTATTTTGATATAAGAAGCTTTGATAGAAGACATCATAGCGGACTGATACCCATTTTTACTATCTTAAAATGGAGACAAAAGGAAGCCAAGCATTTTTAAGGGGCAAGACATTTGAGAAGCAGGCATTTGCATTTGTGGTTTGGTTCGGCAGGGGGGGATCCGGGGGGGGGAGGTTCGGGGCAGGTCTTGATTGCGAAGGACTCTTTCCAATCATAACAGCTAATAATCTTGGAAGGAGTCCACTTAAATGACATGAAGCATGATTGATGTCCGTTCAGAATTGGTCCCCTTGCCATGAATAGGTGCGGCAAGAAGCCCTTTTGCTTCAGTTTCGGTCCCCTTTTGTACCAAGTTTTGATTCTGGCACGGAACCAAAAAAAGAAGCAGGGTTGGATTGCCACATTTCCCTGAATGCTTTTGGTGCCAACTTGATCTTGGTGTTGGGCCAAGTGTGGTTTTGAGCTGAGGCTGACGCCAACTTTGAGCGTGACCTTTTGACTCCGGACCAGTTTGACTTGTAACTTTCCTTTGCGTGGTGTTGATGTGTTTAGAAAGATCAATCATGAGGATTGTCAGTAAGGGAGTCTCAATCAAGCAGGCAGCTTGGGAATCAATCACTATTGCAACCAGAGAAGGGGTTTCCAAAGAAGGCATCGGTATTCCCGGCGAATTCCCGACATTGAGACTCTTAGATGTACACACGTTTTAGTGGCGAATGAATAAAGCGAGTCTTTCTCGAAGTCCGTTAACAAGCGCCTGTCGATCAATTTCAATGGGGAACCGCCTCCAAGGGTGGTTGGTGGACATGAATGCGCACCAAAATGATCTCCATCAAAGGGTCCCCTATTAAAATTCGCACGAACATGAGAGCCCTTCGTGCTTACAGGCACTGGGATGAAGGGTTGTCACTTCCGTTGACAGCCCTTGTAGGTGTACTGCCCCCTGTGCAGAGAAGTGTATTTCCCGAAGTCTTCGAAGTTGGAATGTCCGGCGCTCATGTGTTTCGGTGCTTCCCAGGTTGGCCCATTAGGTTGCTTCCGAGGTCTTGACGGTGCCTACTTCGGCACCACCTTTGCTCATTTGTTTGCCCTCACTTACCAGCAGCTGGCCGTGCCCTCAGCCTCAAACCAAAGTGGGCTGTCGGCTCACCAGGTCACCAGCCTTGGGCCAACCTTTCGACGCCTTTTGTTCAAACAGCCACCTTTCGGTTGTCGCTAAATTACAGGGGCCGACACGGGTCTGGTTGTTAAGATTTTGTAACCAACCCTGGTGCCAACTGACGCAGACCCCGAGGTTCCTCCATGTATGCCTTTGCCGCATGTGCCGGCCTCAGAACATGTGCAAGTGTGACCCGGAGAACTTGTGGGTCCCCATCGTATGACGGACACAATCGGGTCGGGTGTTCGTCTCCAAAAACTCCAAGTGTGCGTGGGTGGCATATTGGGATGCCCAGAACCCACGGATCTATGGCTTCAAGATCCACAAGAGCGTCAAGGAGAACTTGCGGCGGCGACGCCCCCAGAGCGATTTCTTTTTGGTTGCCCCGGACCCTTTGGCCGAAATTCGGGTGATTGCGTCCAGCCGAATGGAGGTTCCCAATTAAAATACATGATCGCCATTTGTTTGTTTTTGGGAGGGGAGATGGCACTCACGAAGCTTAACACAAACCTGGGGCGGAGCTCGAAACTTCCCATGTTCGTACCGTCAAAATTGCTTGTTTCGCAAAGAGGAGAGGTTTCCCAGGCACGTGTGGATTTTGAAGAGGGTCCGACGCGAATGCAGTCTTCACGAGTCCTTGCATTCATTTGGGGATTGAAGTAAAGCACACTCTAATCTTGCTTGCGCTGGAACGAGGGCAGTTGTATTTCCACCTACTTGTACAGGACCCCATCGACGTTTCTTTTGGGTAGAAAGCGGGGCCTTCGTCATTTTTTTTGGCTTCCGCTCACAGGGCAGACCAACCGACGGCAGGCAGTGTGAAAAGGTGCAGAAGCAGCTGCCCGTGTTCCCCAAAGACGCCAAGTCAGTCTCGCGCTGAGCGGCTTTTTCTAGGTGGTTCAGGTTACCCTTCGGGGTGTTTTCTGAAGGCTCGGCACCTGTGCCCGTTGGTTTAAAGGCAAATTATCAGCGAAGCTGAAGTCCGAATCCCGATTTGTCGCCTTTCAAAATATGAGTTCTATAGGTAGTAGCCATTACCACGACATGGGGGTCTGAACTTCCTTAAAACAACCGACGGGAAAAAGAGGTGAAATGGATGAACTGGGGCACACGACCCAAATCCAACGTCATTGTGGCACTTTTTTTTTCTTCGTGACTCGCATACCCAATGTCCCGCATGCGGCGCGCCGCGTTTTGAAATACTCAGGGAGAGCAACCGGAGGCCTCGCGGGAAAGAGGCCTGGTACTTGTCAGTTTTTTTTTGGTCCTAATCTGTAGGCTCTAGAAGGGTCGCACCAAAGAAAATCATGTAGCATGTCAGTCACCCAGGACACAACATGCGCGTGAGCTGTGCAAGTTTTCCAGGTAAAGAACTTATGGTCGACTAGAGCCTGGCGCTGAGTCGGCCGGGGTGGGTGACTCTTCACAAGTGCATGCTCACCACTCTTTTGGGGAAGCTGTCCAGGGGTGCCGTTTCCCAAGGTGTTGGGTATGTCACCCACAAACACCTGGACGACGCTTCCAACGGGAATATGATAATTGTGGAAATTCGACTCCCCTGTCCCGTCTGGGTGGGTAGCAAATAACAAGAGACTTTGAATGATATAGTCCCAAGTAAGCCCTCCCAAAGTTACTCACGTGACTCTGGTCTTCGGTGTGATCTGAGCCCCTTGGACCTTTTTTTGCTTAGACAAATGGCAAGGTGAGACTTTTTGCTTAGACAAACACATTTTGTTGGGGCCTTGGAGGGTTGCAGGCGATGTTTCCTTCTCCCAGTGCTTTTACATGCTCGGGCTCTGGCTCAAATGAATGACATGTGAAGATGGTCTTTCTCAAAATACGGAACCCACTTTGGGGTTCAAAAAGCAACAACCAGAGAACCTGAACGAAAACTGCCCATCCGACGGGGGCGTTTGGGCCGAACAACATCTGTGTAAAGAGAGAAGTTTTCTTCGGCAGAAGAGAGAAGAACCTGAAACATGGGGCGGATTTCTTTGGCAGCTTCCGTTGAAACCCCAAAAGCGGTTCCAAAAGACGTGCTTCCCCCGCTAAAAGACGTGGTTTTCTTGCCGTTCTCGAAATCGGAACTGCCCAAACGTCTCAAGCCTTGTTCCGCCGCCAGGCCTTGCGGAAGGCCGTTGAAGCCGTTGAGTGATCTTCGAGCTGTGTCGAACGGCCGCAAAGCAGAGGCCCCGAGTTTTTATTGGTTTGGAGATGACAAGAAACCGAGCAAGTTCGAAGCGCTCGAGTTTTCACATATTCCCGGAGTGAAATTGTCTCACCCAATGAATGTATGCATTTCATATGCATTTTAATGTGTTTGCGCGCAGAGAAGCGCATGAGGCGCGCGAAGGGAAGCAACAAAAAGCAAGGCTGCATGGACTGCCACAGACTTGGGGAGCCGTGACGTGGACAGTCTTGTTCGATGGCTCCAGCGATCAGCATGGGCTCATGCATGAAGCTTGCAAGTGCTTTCGTGTGAGTCAGTGGGTCGTCAAGTCAGCCAGCCAGCCAGCCACCCAGCCAGCCAGCCAGCCACTGAGTGAGTGAGTGAGTGAGTGAGTGAGTGAGTGAGTGAGTCAGTCAGTGAGTCAGTCAGTCAGTCAGTCAGTCAGTCAGTCAGTCAGTCAGTCAGTCAGTCAGTCAGTCAGAGATAGTTCACGTTCCCGATTTGAATCCAAGAACTGTTTTGGAGAGGCGCCTTTTTTGGCCGACGCATAGGGATAGCCAACGTGATTGCGACATTGCCCTTTTTTTATCCGGCCAAGCACCGCCTGTCATGACTTGACCAGGCGAGCAAGAGCTGTGCTTGTGGCGTGCTGTTCTTGTACATGTGTGGGATGTGAAAAACAGGCAGAGGATGCCCTAAGGCCACTTCTTAAACCCGTCTGGATTTGCTGCGTGCTTGAATCCTCAAGGGTGCATGGCCCTTTTTTCCCCTCTACCAACCCAAAAACGGTTCCCTCAACAGAAAGCAAGCACAGATCCATAATGGTGTGCTTTGTTTGTTTGGTTGTTTGTTTGTTTGTTTGTTTGTTTGTTTGTTCGTTCGTTTGTTTGTTGGTTTGGTTTGGTTTGGTTTGGTTTGGTTTGGTTTTGGTTTGGTTTGGTTGCTTGTTTGCTTGTTTGTTTGTTTGTTTGTTTGTTTGTTTGTTTGTTTGTTTGCGTGTTTGTTCGTTTTTTATTTGTTTGTTTTTGTTTCTCGTTTGTTTGTTTGTTTGTTTGTTTGTTGCTTGCTTGCTTGTTTGCTTGTTTGCTTGTTTGCTTGTTTGCTTGTTTGCTTGTTTGCTTGCTTGCTTGCTTGCTTGCTTGCTTGCTTGCTTGTGTATGTGTGTGTGTGTTTGTGTTTGTGTGCCTGTGTGTTTGTGTGTCTGTGTGTGTGTGCCTGTCTGCCTGCCTGCCGGCTTGTCTGTCTGCCTGTTTGTCCGTCTGTCCGTCCGTCCGTCCGTCTGTCTGTCTGTCTGTCTGTGTCTGTCTGTGCACGTGTGCATGTGCGTGTGCGTGTGCGTGGCCTGGGCCATTGACATGGCAGCTGGCGGGCCCACTTTGTTGCAATCCCATCACTCAAAAACCACTCGAGCTTGATTGATCTCTCCTGTGTTCAGTTGCAACAGCATGTGCAAGAGACAGTGAAGGAGACAGTTCTTTGTTTCTTGTTGTGAGTTCAGTTACAAAAGGCAACCTAAGAACATGACGATTTAAAGCATGATCTTTGCTCATGACTTCACCCTGCTGATCTACACGGAGTGCTGTTTGGATCCTTTCAGATTGCTCCTTGACTTTCTTGAGATTGCTCCTTGACTGCCTGGTTCTGGCTACCTTCTCTATGACAGGAGCTCTTTGAGCTGGCCCGTTGTCTGAGAGATGCTTGTCCTCATTCCCCCTTCTTGAGAACTGTGTGTTCTGAGCGATAACTTTATCCTGATGCTACATCATCCTGGAACCTTTGAGGATGCCGGGGGCCGGAGCACGCGTGTGGGTCTCCGGCCAACACCGGTGCCCAGTACCTGCAGGGTTGCGCCTGGGCAGCGGCGGGCGCCCCGAAACAACGGTCCCCTGTTTGCCCCCTGGACGTCCAGTCGAGGGTTCACTCGAGAGAACCACCTGAACTTGGTAGATCTTGTTTGTGTCTCTGTTTGTATTTGAGGAAACTTGTGCGGCTTGGATGCGCATAGGTCTTCCTTTGCACAGGATGCCGGCTCGCGGATTTGGGGGCATCTCTCCTCATGGCCCGGATGCTCAGATGCGATGTGTTTTCATAAAATAAAAATGCCAACAATAAAATTTAATTATAAAAGCTATCTCATCTTAAAAGCATTAATATTAACTCTAATTAAATATAATAAGATATGAAAGTCTTATAATAAGATCTTAATAACGTCAACAAAGGAACATCTTCAAAAAATAAACCAACAATATTAAAAAAATCAAAAGAAACATATAATAAATAAACAAGCTTGAATTATTATAAAGATGACACAATAAATACAAAATGATGGCATCTTTTCCAAATTAAGAGATGAAGAGATAAACTGCACGGAGCGAGTGGAGAGGCAGGTGGTGACCAGCGATTGAAAAAGGGCAAAAGTAGGGGCCCTGTTGGTATTCCCGGTAAAGGGCCGACCAAGGCGGCACCAGGTCCCAAACGGGTATACGTTGTTGACAACACCCCATTTGTCAACCGGTGTATGTGTGTGTGTGTGTGCCTCGATTTTCTTTGAGACTGCCTTGACTTTCGAGGGACCGGCCATGAATCAAGGGGTTTATATCCGACACGTCGTTTGGATTGGATTAGGGAGTAGCGGTTCCTTGTCAAACCAAATGAGAACGCCCTGCCCTCTGAACCTCCAAGCTGGAGGTGGTGTCAGCTTCCTTTGGATTCTTTACATGGTTGTTGGGTAGACTGCTTCAGTGCCAGGTGTTGATTATGTCCTGATTGGCTGCATCCTATCCTCTCTTTGGGAATCCAAACGTTTTGCGAACAAGCAAGATTTCCGACCACCGTTTGTGATTTTCGCTGCCACGCACCCTCTCGCAGGAAAAGGCCAATTGGTGGTTGAGATTGGCCGTTGAGTTTGAACCCCTGGTTCTCAAAGCTGAAGAGGCAAGAACCCAGGAAGAGCTAATCCAAACCCTCCGAAGAAACCCGGTTTTGACGTCCTGTTTTGAGTAAAGCACCCAAGCCAGCACTTTTACCTACTAAACACGACTAAAGCAACCCGAGCCAAGCCCAAACCACCCGAGGCCGTCGATGCGTGCTTTCTGCGGTGGCCGACTTGGCTGCCAGCCCGCTTGAGAAGCGGCCAGCGCCCCAAGTTTCGCCCCGACTGGGACGGGCGGCGGGGTTTCCGATTTTTCCATCTAGCTTGAACCGTGTCACCCTTTTGTTTTTTTTTGGGCCGGAAGTTTTGTTTGGTGGTGATGTTTTAGGGGGTCTGCAGTGTAAAATAAACGATCCCGATCCAGGCCAAGATATGAATCCAGAGAGCAAGTTGGGGAGGACCGATTTGCTGGGCGCCGTATTTGCTTTTGGCAAGGTCCATCGATGACTTGATCCAGCTTGGGAAAGCATCGCACCAGGACTGGATGGCATTTTATTGCTCGCGCAATTTGTTTGAACAGCACGACTGTGGATCCTTCAGAGGGAATATTAGCTTGAACATGCTTGATCAGAGTGTTTGGGGTGCTAACATCCGCCCGGAAGCTTTGCGTTCGTCATTCGTTTCGCTGAGCATGGCTTCGTTTGTGAGGAGCGGGTCTGCCAGCTGCATGAGACGCTGAAGGACACCATTTTTGTTTTTTGGCGGCGAGTGCACAGGGAGATATGGGAGCAACTGATCAAATTAATTACAGGTCTATTTTTAGTTTTAGGAAGACACGTGCCTAAGCAATTTCCTATGTTTCATCCTGCGCATGAGGTCCACTATCACGAAAAATGCCCTCAAGCAAAACGGACGGCGGCCGCCCTGAATGAGGTTTGGATTGGGATTCCCAATTTTTCCCAGAAGTCCAAAGTTTCGAGCAGACCTCTGTGTTGACCATAACGCTTGTTTGGGTTGTTTACAACGGAACCCAGGGAAAGACTGAAGCTCGTTTTGAACTGGACGCTCTGGATGTAGAATGCACTGAGGGCTTGCGTGGTTGCTCGTTGGTTGCTTGGTTGCTTGGTTGCTTGCATGCTTGGTTGCTTGCTTGCTTGGTTGGTTGGTTGGTTGGCTGGTTGGTTGGTTGGTCGGTCGGTCGGTCGGTCTGTTGGTTGGTTTGTCGCTTTCTTGATTTGGTTGGTTACTGTATGCTTGCTTGCTTGCTCGGTTGGTTTGTTGGTTGGTTGCTTGCTTGCTTGGTTGGTGGGTTGGATGGTTGGTTGGTTGGTTGGTTGGTTTTCGCGTGCATCATTTCTCAGCTTTGCGCATGTCACTCCCATTCTTTTTTTTGTTTTTGTTTGAATTTTGCGCCAGGTGTAGCAGACATTGACATGACGGTTCCCACATCCCGCGACACCGACACGGGTTCCCAAAAGGGTTACATATGGGGTCGCCGAACCATCCAATCAACAAGAGTACTCCGGGTGCCTTGTTTGGGCTAAAGGGGAGCCAGGAAAACGGAATAATCCTATGTTCCGTGTTCCCCTATGGCATGGGCACACCCTTTTCAGTGCGCAAAGATCTTCTCGGGTTGCTTGCTGCGGAGGTGGGACTTGCCCGCTGCGCAATGAGGCCGGAAATACCACGCAAGCGGCTTTTGAACTTGTGGGTTCTCGTCAATATTGGCCAACACTAACTTTCCTTGTTCGATGCGAATAACGACATGCTTGTCCTAGCGGAAGGATCCCGTGTCTTTAGAGCAATGCAGAAAGTCACGCAATTCAAGAGGCTTGTTCTTTTGGTTGCTCTGTGAATGATTTTGAACAGATTTGGACAGCCAGACTCGGTGGGCAAATCTGGTGGCTTTGCTCACCAGTCGAGTGGCTGTGGGGTGTTTGTTGGTTGTTTCAGTTGGGTATGGGTCAAAAATAGGTAACACCATGAAATCCTGGTAAATGGAGACTAAAGCCTGCGGTCCATATCCTGGTGGTTTAATTATTTATCCATTTGGAATGACACCAGCCCACCCTCAAGGCCAGGGCTGATTTTGCACTATGGAACCCTGAAGGGCTTCGTTGCAGGCTGTCCAACATGCCCTTCGGCTTCTGTCATGCTCCGAGCATCCGGCGGGTCACTTCAGCGTGACTCGGCTAGCGTTTTTGCGACCCCCCTGGTCCTATTTAGTTTGTTTCCTCTGCCCACATCACCCAAGTAAGAATAGTTTGTATATCGACCCCGTATTGGTTGTCAGGGGGGGAGGGTGGGGGTGGAAAAGCAGCTTCGGTCCCTGGGCATTTGTTTTGCTTGTGTTTGTTTTCCTACCTGCTCAATGTCCATTTGCCGTCAAGGTTGGCTGAGTTTGACCTTTGAGCGTATTCAAATTGTTCGGAAGAGTTGCACTGATCAGGTAAATGTGAACTCCTGGCTGTTTGTACGGGGTAAATGGTAAACCCCAATCTTCAAGCCACCAATCCAAACCACCAAGTAGAGGGAAGTTGCGGCTTCCTTTAGTTGGGGAAGTACATTTACGGGGAATATCTTTGAGTCCGGTCTTCGCCGAAATGCAATGCAATGTTGACAGCTCTCTGGTAGAAATAGAACCGGATGTCACAGTTCCTGTCCCGCGATTGGTTTTTTGGTTTATCGAGAGGAACTCCCCATTGATCCCATCGAATAAACTAGGTCTCAGTGATTAGGCAGGCGAGTTGAACCATGAGGCCTTCAAGCCTGCCAATATCCAAAGTGGGCCATCCGTGGGAGTGTGTCTTTAATGTGCCTTTTTTCTGTTTGGAGGGGGGGGGGGGGAGAAACATCACATCACATGTTGTTTTCTGCGATTATTTGAGACCGTCCCTTTGTTTGGCCGACTTCCAGTTAATACTACTTTGAAGGCACCATCAGAAATGGCCAATCAAAGCCCTCATCCATTCGTGGCTCTCACCAAACCCCACGGATTTCCGGATGGAAGACCGCCCAGCCGATTCAACTCCAAAGACTGAAATGACAGCTTGTTGATTTAGGATTGTCAATACTTCCGTGTATAGCCAATGCAACTTCCTTTCATGGCTGTGCCGGCTACCTTTCCAGGTCTCAAGAAAGCAGCTAGCCAAGAGTATCTTCTTTGCCATAGTGCAATAGGCAAATCAAGGTTTGCAAGCCTATATGCCGCACTGCCCTTCAAGGTCAATCCTCTCCCAAAAACACAAACCCCTTGATGAATCATAACCATTCCAGCACAGGAATATTAATGGATGCACTTGCTTCTTGCTTGTACTTCGGCCCATAGGCCAGACATCGAGGCAAAGGAACCGATATATTTGTATTTCCTATATTGAGAGCCCAAATCTGCTTCTTTGGGACCCTGCCAACCTTGACACATGAAGTGCCACTGCACTGCTAGACAGAAACCTAGTCCAACGGTTATTGCAAAGGTAGGATTAGAAACTATATGGGTGTGGGTTAAAATAGGTAGCCACCATTGCTACATGGAACCCAGATAAATGGAAAGCAGGACTAAAACCTGCGGTGCCCCTGTGTAATTTGGACCCATGCCCATATGGCGCCTTATATTACCGCTACAGACAGGTTGGCGACCGCCGTATTAATCGGACTATGTGAAGTTTCGGTCACAATTAGTGGTACGGGGGGCTGGCTTAAGATTCCCACACAAAGCAAGGACGCAGCAAACCACAGGACGCACTAAATTGTGCGGACTTTGGGAACAGAAAATTTTGACCGTGCGCCGGAACGTAGCCGTGCCACGGCTCTCTGGGAAAACCAACGCGCTAATCCCCCCCGGCACCGGAACCCGGCGTTAATAAACCCCTGGTATGCGTCACTTCCCTCTATCAATATATGCACCGCAAACAGCGTCTTTCCCAGACGCTCGGATCCCCAATACTACTTTAGAATACGCCAAGTCCAAACTAATACTAAACCTAATGGGGGTGTCGTAATTCTTTCTGGGTGAAGCGGTTAAAAGAGAGAGTCCTTGACTTTGGGAAACAACTGACCAAGACCAGCAGGACCATGAAAAATGGGGGGGGGGGGGGTCGATCTTCCGGTGGGTGGGGAAACGAGCCATTTCTCCCAAAGGTTAGTTTGGGACCTAGAAACCAAAGGTTCACCTTTTCGGACCTATACCAAAAGTCGACCAACAAGGATGTTTCTACTTAAACTGGGCTATCCTCAGATCCCCTGCTGAAAGCAGAACTTTTCGTGGGCGAAATGGACACCCAACCGCCTTTCAGCCACAATCAACATTCACATGGGATTTGGGTGAGTAATCCCCATGTCCCTAATTGTATTTGGTGTCTTGTGCGCCCCATTTCTCATTGTCATTCTCCTTGTGCAACATTGACCGCTCAGGTATGTCCAAAACTTTAAGCAGGCGCTTGGCTTTGGGAATTGGGGTCGCAGACATTCGCACATCCTGCCCTCCAAAAGTACTCAGGATGTCATCTCAAATGGGCAAACACGACTCCCTTTTGGAAGGGCTCTCTGCGGCAAGCCAAAGCAGAGCAGGAACGCATACTTATCCCTAAAATTGAGTCTTGAGGGTTGCAGTTTCATGCCTCCGGTCGTTTTCCTCTGAAATCGGAGACCCTGACAGACACGAAGAGACACCCATTCATTGCAAGGTTCCTTAATCCAATTGCCCTGCAGGCAAGGCATTGTAGCAGGTAACCAGGGGAAGCCATCATGTAAACCTAGAGGTAAACATGCCGGGTTTCCCAATGGCATGGATGCTTCTCACTCCAAGGAATTGATGGTTTCCCTTGAGCGCCATCGAAACGAGCTCCCATTTTCGAGACACCCCCAATAGGCTGTTTGGGAATTCGGTGAACTTCAACCCAAACACCGAAAGTATGGAAAAAACAACGCCATCCCCCGCCACTCCGAGTAATTTGTTGACCCCAGATGAATCAACCAGGATGAGTATGTGTTTGGTTTCCTCCAAAAGCGACGGATTCTGTAAAATGGACTACCCTCCCATGAATCCAACCAGGGGTTTATGAATCCGAGGTCAAAATTAGCCACTCTGTAGGTGAAACAAACACATTGGGAACCCTTTGATGCAAATTTGCATGGGGATTTATGTTTACCAACACCATCTTTTGAGCTTTTTTTCCGGAAGTTTCGTGAATGTGTCAAAAGCAGGTCGGACCTCCATTTGGGGACGGCTTTGTCAGCCAAAACCTGATTTTACATGGACTATCTCGGATCAATTGAGATGCTCCTGGACAGGCCCAGGGAATCCCTTTAAGGTTGGTTTACCTTGCAAGCATGGTTTTGGGCCCCTTTCATGTCTTGATTCTCCGATCCGCAGGTCATAGACTTTGAGGATAAGCACGGCCTGGCAGGTCTCACGAGCGAGGCGGGGCATCGCGGTATCGAGTTGGCCGGGAAAGGTTTGGTTCATGTCATAGAAGGCAACTGAAAGATGCCGCAGAACGGCAAACTCCAAGGGTCCAAAAGTGTTGGCAGTGGCACGAAAATGTTTTCTTGCTTCTTTTTTAGGGCCGGTCTCGCTCGGGGGGGTCCTAGGAGTACCATGCCATCACCAACGGCATCTTCAATCAGCATCGTGGCACCATGCTCGACGTGGCCAAAGGCGTCTTCGAGTTCAATGAGGCGAGGCATCGCGCGCTCGCTGGATGTTCGAGTGGTTGACCCAGCATGTTTTTGGTCTACCCTCAGGTCGGTTCAAAGAGAAACCAAAAGGATAATCAGACAAAATATGGAACAGTTTTTTTCACGTTTGGATGCATGCCCATGTTGCCATCGTTTGTCAGAGGAAAACGGCACCCGTCATTTAATCAGCGTTTTTCAGGTCGAACCGACTAGAAGTGGCAGATCGAGGTCTGGGATTGGTTTCAAGAGGTTCAGATCCAACCCAAAAGACCAGTTGCAAGGTGGTCGAATGGGTATCCGCATTTAGGTACGACACACCAACGGCTCTGAGAACAGATCCAGCTGTCCAGGATCTGAATAAGCTCTTCGGGCCGGACCTGGAGCTCGCAGAGCTAAGACATCTGCAGCTGATCCAGGACTTGCGTGGCTGAGTTCAGAATGTGGCCAACAAGTCCCCAAATTCAGCGGCCAGGGCTTCGAGTTTCCTTCGACACATCACCAAAAAGACCAAATTTCTCTCCCCCCCTACCAAGAATGAAGTGCCGATGCAGGCTCAACAACTCTTGGACGGTGGCTATGTGGTCGGTTGAATCGCTGGGTAGTGAAGGCCTATAGCCTGTGGAAACCTGCCCGTGACTTCAAGTACCAGTGGTTTTAAAGGTATATTTGGAAAGCCTGGTTTTTCATGGTATCA